TCCAGAAGCAATCATTAAGGCTGCCAGTGAATGCGCTATCAATTATTTGGGGCTGCAGTTACGACGTGCTCCGAAGCCAATTACCCGTGATTATTGTCGAGAATTTCGTCTTGGAACAGCCAGGTAGGTTGGTTTGTGCAGTCTGTTCACGTTCGACTGCTAAATTTTGTCTCACAGTGAAGGCTGAACAATCTTCGCTTTGTTCCGCAACCTTCTCATGATGCTCGTCGACGGCTTTCTTAACAGTCACTAGTTGTCCGCCTTCGGTCTCTCAAGAAGAATGCTCATTTATCTCGTTTTTAGTCGTGCATATCATACGTATCGGAGCATTGTGTTTTGTTATTGGGCCGTGCTTGGTTGATTGACGATATTACAATCAGTTAAGCTACACTTACTCTATTATTTAATATGTGTGGTGGAGCTATCAGACACTTCCAGTCCACTAATGCAGTAGTGTCTCATTGTTCTCACTCACGTGACGTTTGGGAGTTTAGACCCAAACTAATCCTTCTTGATGTAGCTTATGGCGGATTCATTCAAATCCCAACGTCTCGAGGCACACCCAAGACATCAACTTTTTATGGGGAGCCAGAACCCTTCTCTGGTGCCTAGGTCCCCTGTCGAAAGCCTAAGATGCCGCAAAACCTGAAAGAAAAACGATACAAGTGCACAGTATCCACAAGACACGTGTGAAACCTAGGATTTCGGTTTATCTGGCTTTACTTTGCCTAGCGTTCACCAGCCAATCACAACCAAGGTCAAACAAATGGGGCACTGTGATTGGTCAAGCTCGTTTCCGTAATTGTATTTTCCTCCACCTACCTGCACGATGTTATCATGTTTCCGTAATTGTATTTTCCTCCACCTACTTGTTATCACTGGCCAAAAACCCTTGCTTGCGACTTGAATTGGCGTCAACAGGAGGCAGCTGAAATTCGACTGGATGTCTCGCTGTCCAATTCCGACATAAGGTTGGCGGAAATTCCAGAATTAGGTCGATTAATGAGTCCAAAATGCCCAAAACCCCGAATTTTCCTTGGCATCCGGAGTATGGAAGAAAAATTGCCTGTTGTTTATCTGTTGAATATAGATGCATTTAATGACTAATAAAGTTACGCTCCTTTTAAATTGCCCCTTCCGTCTTGTAATTAGCAATATTTTTATCAATAGGTTATCTTGTTTCAGGACGCGGGGTCCATAAGGACAATTCATCATAGGTTATTAGGATGCTGCGGTAGACCCGGAGGCGTCCGTAAAATATCTAGCTACGTTGTTCCAAATAAGCGTTCATGAATGGCATAAAACCTCAGATGTGAACCCGAATATAAAAAAATAGTAATATTTTTCGGCTGTAACACTCTTTCGGNTCCGTTGTCTAGCTGCCATACCACCCAAGGAAGGCTGGATTGCTGCCAAGTTGCCCAATTCTAGACGGGGAACGTTTGTGCGTGGGCAAATTAACTATCGCATTGCTTGCTGACCTCGAGGTGGCTTACGAATACGGGCGCAAGCTCCTCTTTCAAAGCTTCCTGTCTGGACATCGGCTCGGCTCTAGAAATTTTTCGGAATATTGATTTACGATACTTCCTACTGGAAATCCGAGAAGTCGTGTGCGGCTGTTTCACAGTTGTTAGGATCCACTAGCTTACGAACCTTTATTTGTATTCAAACCCACAGCCGTACGAACAGGAACCGAGCGCTCTTCATTCGGTTGAGTTGTTTGCCGTCACCCTATCGAGATAGCGACATTAGTGCCCAGTGGTTCAGTGGTGCGTCGTGATTCACTTGTGCGGCAGAGTGTAGTTGCACCTTGACGATCAGTGTCCAGTCGTTTACGACACGACTGCCAAGTTCACCGAACAGTCCAATCCAACTTTATCCTCTAGATCGAATACGGGTGACATAGCGGTATGATCAAGTAGCACCTATCTAGATGGGAACCAGTAGTACTGCTCGTATCTTGGCTACATCATGTGATCTGTTCTTGACTGCCTCCTTGAGTGGCAGAGAAATGTAGAAGCTTACTTTTATCTCTTTTCGGGAAGAAGCAGAAAAATTGCGGGTCTTCGGCTTGATTTCTGAATTTTCTGATGGAGCGAATCCACAAATGTTGGGTGCACTAAATCCTCTCAGAATTACAGTTTCATTTGGTTTTTCCGAGGCTGATTGGCGAGATTATCTGCACATGGTCATTTTCGTTCCTCCTGACCTGCCCTGATCTCCATGCTCCCTACTTATCTGATTCTTTTTCGACCGGACTGAGCAGTCCTTCAACGCCTTGATTGGTTTGTAGAACTCGAGAAGGGTCAGTGGTTAGGGCTTGAGCTAACTGATCAGAAGGTCTGTGGTTCGAACCCAACCTCGGCATCGCGACTGCTCCTGTCTAGTCTTAGGCAGTCCGCCTACGTATCTCCTACGGTTGGTATGGCATCGAAAGGATGTTCCAGCTGAATGATTATTGGCCGTTTATTTTTTATTTCGATTCGCGACATTATCAGCTGTTCGATGGGTTCCCGAATCACCCCCACAAACTACACATGACCGTAATATGACTTAGTATCTGGTACGTTAGTAGACAGTTGTCGTTTTATTCTTCCGTAAAATCGTACAACTCGCAACTATTCGTTGAAGCTATAATTGTGACCATGACCAAACAACCTATTAAGGGAACTACTCACAAGGTTGCTGAAAACTCTTCGAAGAGTAGTTTCCTTTATGAAAATATACTGCGATATCTCGAATATCGTGCCAACTGAATCATGAGGCGGCCTTTGTGCAGCACATTCAGTTGGAGGACATCATAAACGAGAGATTCAATTGAGTCTCCCGTAAAAACCAAATTGATTTGCAAATGAATGTATTTCTCGAAAACCTATTAAGCCCTTTCGTCCCAGTTCCCACATTTCGCTTAGTCGATTTAAGCTTCCAGCTGAACTCTTGTTCCTTAGTCACGGTATTCGCGTCACTTGGTCACTTGTTTCGTGATAGTCTGTTAGCCTATCAATAGCTACCACGTCAACTCCCCCATCATAACCATGGTGATGCACACGCAGCTGCGCCAGCTGTCTGTCGCGTACCTAAAAAATCGTTCAGCTGTAACAACCTTCCGGTGCCTAGCTGCCATGCCACTCAACGGAGGAAGCACGAGGCCTGGGATACTGCCAGGTTGCCCAAGTCTAGACAGGGGAAGTTGAGAGGCAGAGGTCGAACCAAGAACCTGAACTGTCTTGAATCGAATTCCACATGGGCTTTACCGTCATCCACACTAGTGTGTGCCCTCCGGTCAGTTTAGTACGACTATGCAACTGGACTGAACTCATAAGTTAGCAATATCTGTTTGAAAAGCTGACCTTGTTTTCTCATTGGTTTGTCGCCTTAGATTTCATTGCATTACATGAGAAAAAAATGTTTGCAGAAAGCTTTCCATCGGATAGAAAGAACAGAATAATGGGAGGAGCTAAGTACGAGTCAATCACAAGCAGTTGAATTGCGACTTTCGATCGGCAACTAGTTTGTTATTAGTAGTACGAAAAGATTTGAAAATTTTCAAATCGAAACTTGGTCCTTTGAGTGAAGTCGATCTATGTAGGAAAGCCGGGAAGCGATATCCAGCTGTTTTATCCTTATTGGGAATCATCAGCAGTGCGCACTTCACAAAACTCCAGGGTGTTTGGAACTAGTGACCTCCCGGTTGGGACACTTAGCCGCTTGGCCATGAGCGGCTGATCAGCAGTTTGATTAACTCGCACTCATACGATGCGTAGTACCGCCTGTTCTTTAGCCACGGTATTCGTGTCATGTGGTCACTTGTTTTATGATAGTCTGTTAGCCTATCAATAGCTACCACGTCAACTTCCTCGCCATAATCATGATGATGCACACGCAGCTGTGCCAGCTGTCTGTCGAATACCTGAAAAAATGTTCAGGGGGAGCA